TTTACCTTTCTTCCTTTGGTAAGCCGGAGTTTGGGGTAATCCTTGATCACCGTCTTGACTCTCTCATCTAATAAACTCCATTTCTGCGATTAAGATAACAAAGATTGAGTCACCGATTAACAATGAACAAAAAAGTACATCCTTTTGGTATCCGATACAGTCAGATGTTTACCTTTGCATCAACACACCTGAAGTGAACTGATAGACAGAATTTGTTGTTCTCCACCCTCGATCCTGGGATGCTCTTTGTTGAGTCTACCAAAGACTTGTAGACCTTCAAAAAAGATAGAGAATGTCCAGGTAAGTATGATGAGTAAATCTCTGGTCCAATGGCCAGGGACTTCTTCCCGGTTCAAATACCGTCTTCACTCTGCAGCTTTCAGTTGAGAGAGACTAGCAGATGAAGAAACTCACCTCATCTATCATGGGAAGGAATTCGCTGGCTGGCTGAAAGAGAATAGCTTTTGCCTGTGCCACCAACAAGACAACAATTAACAAGTCTAAAAGACAAAACGATGTAGCTTTTTCTTTTTATAGCGAAAAAGAAAGAGGAAGCTGCTCCGAAAGAAGAGAAGACCCACCTTGGCTTTTGTGTGCTTGGGGCCGTCGTTGGGACCTTTTATGTCCATGCCGTGACTCCCAGCGTAGTACAACTCCGATAGCTTCACGAAGCTCGAGACCTGATGTCAAAAAGGTGTTGTCAGAAAGAACAGGGGGAAACCGATCACGTTCAAGTGGTAAGGTGGTAACAGGAATGCGCCGTACCTTCTCCCTGCACCTCCCACTCACAATAGCAGTGGGAAAAAGACTTGCTGCGTCTCTCACTGCCTCCCTCATCTGTTTCAGGTAAAGCAAGAGCATATTAGTAAATCGCCTTCCGGATAGCATCCATTCGAGATGAGAAAACAGACACCAGCAGAGGCATGAAAGCTGTTATGAGAGACAAGAAGCTCACCTCATCGGACATGTAGGCGCGGTCGGGGTCCTCGACGATCGGCGACAGAGTGCCATCGTAGTCCAGGAACATCACGATCTGCTTCCCCTTCGATGCGGCCATGAGCTCGTCAAAGTTGCGCAATGCCGATGGGTGCCGTTTCTACATGCAAATCCACGCAATTCAGCAACACCGTTAGCGAGAACCGATGGAGAAAGATCGAGTAACATCAGCACGCACTCACCACCCAGCCGTCATAGTCTTCGCTGTGGGAAGCCAACACGGGGGCAGTGCAGGCCGCTGCCGACGAGAGCTGACTAGGAGGCAAGGCCTTCATCGACTCAATCCAAGAACTGGCCCTCCCAGCCCCACCACCACCGCCGCCGCCGAGGTCGGTCCGGCTCAACAGCTTCCTGAGTCTGGCATAACTGGCAGCGGCAGAGGCATCGGTGGCACGAAGCGGCGGACGGAAGAAGGGAGATGAAGATTCGGTGATCGCTGCTGCGGAAACGATCGCGAGCGTCGGCTGCTCCTGCATGACCATGTTCTGCCTCGTCATCTCGTCCTCCTATCGCACACACAGGGATCGAAATCACTCTGTTTCGGTTTCGGCTGCGGGGAGGGCAGCTTTATAGGCCTTAGGCCTCTCGGTACCGGAAACGGACAAAAAACCGCGTCGGCTGTGGCGGCCACGGATTCGGCGATCAAGCGGGTCATCCACGGACACCGGGGCCCACGTGTACCAGGGAGGGGTGTGGGGGGGGGGGGGACGGTGCGTGCGCTCGCTTGCTGGCCGCGGTTACCGCACGCGGCCACCAGCCGGGCCGCTTGGGGGACCCTTTTGGGATGGAACACGTGTTCGCCGCGTCATCCACCCACCGATTTGATGGGTGCGCTTCTTCCAAAACAGCTTACTGGCTGTCGCGTCCGCAAAAGGTCCCTACATCTGGTGCCGAGAACTGCACCAACGCCCATTGGATATAACCTGTAGCTGTGGGCTGCCCAATAGAGCGGCAGAAGAACCAACCACCGGCCGATGACAGGGGAAGACTACAGTTTGTCGTCGCAGTATAATGACAAGAATACAGCGCTGTATACATCGGAGTAGCTCTCATAATTGCATGCTCTACTTTGGCTTTCTTTCAGTTGAGAGTGTCTTCATCTTTCACTAGCATGATTGATTTTTGTATGTTCTTTTGGTTTGCTACCTGCTTTGTAATCATAGTCGTCATCTACATGACTAAATTACTCCAGCTTTCTACCGTCCTGCATCTTCTTCCTTGTATATTATTATTGTATCAGGGAGGGTATATAAGACAGTCCATGTTGTCGACGACGAGCTGCTTCCATGATATTGACCGGCCAAACGATAGGACATTAACAAGAAGCGACGGAAGCAATTATACTGCATCTTTCTGAAACCTTTCCTGGACTTGTTACTGTATACAAGAAACCTTGCCCTGTCTCTCTCCCGGCCTCGAAATCTTCACCTGTCGGTGCAAATGAACCAATGCTGCTTCAGTAAACTATTTCCATAAATGCAGTTCCACATGCCCCTCTCTCTCTCTCTCTCTCTCTCTGTCTCTCTCATGGGTTGATCTGCACATATGCAAGAGTGACAGGAGACCAAAAACATGGACCCCAACCTAGTGTGATCTTCGTAGGTGGCGGCATTTGGCCATATGATCAGGCACACCTCCTCTGGCGAAGCCTTGTTGAGCTTGGCATGTAGTTATCAGATCCACAAGGATCATGGACCTGGGACCATTCTCTCTCTCTCTCTCTCTCTCTCTCTCTCTCTCTCTCTCTCATGCGGCTTTGTACCTTTGAACCTGTGGTATGCTGTCGAGTGCATGCACTCATTCTCTACGTTGACATGAACAACCACGTGGAGGCATGTACAATTCACAGCTTTGAGAAGCTCACCGACGGCTATAAGCCACAAACTTTGAGATGAAGAGACTATGGATCGTCACACATTAGCATGGCGGTTTGCAGGATTAGCAGACGCCTCTTCCAATGTATCATTCATCTGTACAAAAGAAGGAATATTTCGATCTACTTGGTTATATGCACCAAATCAATTTAATCTGTCAGCTTGCATCACCATCTTTTGCTGTTGCCTACCACTTGCAGGTTTGACCTGTAGCCAGTTAGATCATCGTATTTAGTAGAATGTATGCATTAACATTCTGTTCCTAGTTACCAAGGTGCATTTCTATGAACTTGCCAATTGGGTACTGCTTGCATGCAGTACACCAACTTTTGGAGTCAAATGTAATGATAAACTAAGAGATTCTCTGAACGAATCTTTCAAAGTGGGACCGTACAAATGAACCTCGAATTCATGGCAAGACCATTCTTCTTTCTCATCGAGGTCTGTTGATCGACAAAGAAGCTTCTTAGACTGCGTGAAGGCACTAGCTAGCAAAACATAAGAGGACACCACACAGATCTAAGATCCAAGAACAGAAAACTACAGACACAAGAACTGAACTGGCTTTTCATCTGTCAAACTCACTGATGTAAATTTCTAGGAAGGTGGCCAATCATCCGAGTCACTGATGTAGGTTCCTGTCCACTGTCCTCGTGTAGTTTCTTCTAGGTGTTAAGCACAGCATATGGCTGCTACCTTCCAGAGTGCTTTAAGCATTTCTTTTTAAAAGGTTAGGTAGGACTGATTGGAACTTCTCGAGGTAAAGAAGTTTCCATGGACAAGTGGAGAGTTAGGTTAAGCCTCGGTCCCGTGCTTAACAGTGACTGACGACGACTGCGAAGTCTTCTGGCAAGTGTGGAAGTCATTAGGAGTGCACTAAGTGCTATTTGCTGAGAAACGGTCAATGAATTCAGGATCTTGTGACAGAAAGTGAAGTTGGCAAGCAACAGCTGAAGAGAATCTCGTCGTTTCCACGTTGAATTCAGACCTCACAATTATGGTTGATCTATAGGTTCCTTACTACGGTGGTTAATCGTCTATTCAAACATCACACAGTTTGATGTTAGGCTCCGATTCTATATGCTTCGCCATTCTTTTCGTTCGCTTGTCAGTTTGGAATCAGCTCGTGATGTTTTGCTGACATAAACATCAGCGATTCATAGAAGAGCGGGAGGACGACTTTATTCGACTCCACGATGGAAAGAGAAGCTTCTTTGGCGATGAGAACCTTTGTCAGAAATGGCGATCTTGATGGTGTCTTGGAAACCACTTAGTCTGGACGCCATTGGAGGCGAAGGTTGAATGAGTATTCCTAACAGGTGGTCCTCAACTTGCATCCACGACTTGAATGGCCACAGTACGCACAAACAGGTTGGGGAAAAGGAACTCTTCGCCTTCCTTGGCGGTAAAGCTCGGAATAAAAAGTACTGGAAATGTGGAAGCAGGTGGGATTGCTGGTCATCCGGAAGAGATCCGCATGGTGTGGGGCTTGATGGACATGGAAGTTCTGATACTGGGGCAATATTTTTCTCGAGTCCTCTGCATTAGATTTCACGTGGTTAAAGGAATAATATGATGCAACGACAGATCATGGAGGACTTTCGAGTTGCAAAAGGGACAAGCTCAGATTAGGCCGAAAGCAGTCCATGATGCTAATGTAATCGGTGGTGCACTGCACGAGGTATCATCGGCGTATAAATCTTACAGATATCGGACTTCGTCAGAAAGTGAAAGATTTCATGGCAATGGCGGAGGCGCTGCCCACGTCCACTTCTGTGGCTGCGACTCCGAATCACCTTTAAATGGAAGGTTGGCAACACCTAAAACATAAGGAACTAAACAAGCAAATCTAAAGAGCATCGTGGGGGTCCCAATCTGATAACTAGCTATGAAGACCGATTTCCTGTTAATTAGATAGGAATCCGATCTTGGAGAAGCACAGTGTGTAATCCACACATGAATCCCCCGCTGGTCTCAATGATAGCCAATGGTGATCAAAACAGAGTACCAGAAGCTGAGAACAATTACATCTCCATGGAAAGAACTAGATTTGTACTGTAAGCATCAAACAAGTTCAGAACAAGATCCTTTGTGAAACGAGGTTGCACTGATCTCAATGATAGCCGATAGTGATCAAAACAGAGTACCAGAAGCTGAGAACAATTACATCTCCATGGAAAGAACTAGACTTGTACTGTAAGGATCAAACAAGTTCAGAACAAGATCCTTTGTGAAACGAGGTTGCATTTATACATCGCAACTCGTTTTTCTGTAAGATCTATTAATAATGAGCTCTTCCATACCACTTGTTCTCCGGTTCATATGACCTCTTTCTTACACACATGCAAATCTGCTTTCGCCTTCGTCGCTTACATGCTCTGAGCTATTGCGAGGCAAGCAGACTTCTTATTATCCACCTCACACATCTTCTCTTGCCTTGGGAGTGCAGGTCATCACTGCCTCTGCAACTGTGAGGAATACCTTGTCGTGACCTAAGAGCTCTGGGAACTTTGCCGAGTAGAGCTTCTCAATCACCACTGGGCCAGGGTTCGCAAGAACTAGCTGAAGAAGAAGAAGAAGAGACATAGATACTTGTAAGTTTCATCCCTTCCAACCTTCATTAGAACTGTCAGAATGTATGCATAAGGAACTACCTGGACTTCATGCTTTCGGAGACTCCTATAAAGTTCTTCGAATGCATGAACACCGCTTGTGTCAATATCTGTCACAGCTGCAAAAGAAACCAGGCAGCGAAAGGATCAATGACAAGTAAAAAGAAAGAGGAAGCTAAAGAACAGCTGGGGCTCCTTACGTGACATCTCAACTATCAAGAAATCTATTTGAGGTAGATCGTTCTCTTTTAGTTGCTCTTCTTCATCTCTTAACCATCTTAGGATCCTGCGGTAAGAAGTTAAAGAGAAGATTTAGGTGACCATATTACTTGTAGTAGTATAGCTCTGTTCTTATTGTGCTCAGAGATTAATGAAAGAATTAATACATATGTAAATTATGATGGACAACCAGAGAAGACATCGATTAGCAGACATGTCGTACTGCAGAAACCATAAAAGTAGATTGCCATGATAAGTTAGTAGCCATTACTAACCCAAATCCCATTATCCTAAGATGTATGCAATTGAACCTTTATCACTCATAGTAACGCCACCAAAGTCATAAAAAGTACCTTTCTTTGACATAGTTAGAGTTTGTGAAGTAGATTGCAGAATCAACTCTCACTATCAGAATTCCTGGGACCTTGGTTGCCTCTGGGTACTGTTCCATGTTCCTGTATATCGTTGTTCCAGGAAGATTCCCAAGTAAAGCTGTTCTTGGCCTTGTTACTTGCAGAAGGATCTTTGCAAGTGATATGGAGACCTATCAGCAGAGAGATAGAGAGAGGAAACAGATTCAAGATCAGATAAGAAAATTATTAGCCGATCAAAAAGGAGGAGGAACAGAGTATCCTTACGGCAACCAAGAGGCCAATTTCAACAGAGACAAAGACAACACCAAAGAATGCCCCCATGCATGCAATGAAGTCAAATTTGTCAACCTTCCAGATAAGATATGCCGCTTCATAATCTATGAGACTGATCACTGCCGAAATAATAATGGAAGAAAGTATCGCATTTGGAGTGTACTTGAAGAGGGGTGTGATCAGTAGCAAGGTAAGCATCACTACTAGTGACATAACCATATTGGACACACTGGTTTTACAGCCAGCCATGAAATTGACAGCTGACCGAGAAAAAGAGCCTGCATACAAAACCATAATTTTTTAGCCTTCTGTGCTCATAATTTTTCACCATCATCCATGAACTCTTCCAAATTTAATCAGATATTTTACCTGTTGCTACGTAGCACGATGTCATCGAACCAACTATGTTCATGGTTCCTAAAGCAACCATTTCCTTGTTTCCATCCAGTTGATAGTCCTTCATGGCGGCAAATGTTCTTCCAATGGCTATTGCTTCCTGACAAATTTGCAGCATGTTGTTTCAAGTGGCAGAGAAAGATGTTTCTTAGACATTTTGGAACCAAGGCTAGCGGTTTAAATACCGTGAGAGCTATCATTGCAGCAACCACTCCAATTCTGAATCCTTTGAGAGCATAGGAACCACTGAAGTGAATCTGACCAACAGATGATGGGTTGATTCCTCTATCTATTTTTTTCACCTTTCACAAACGGAAAATTGCATCAGTTTCAGACATCGATTTCCTAGACTTTAGCTTTACCAGGGGAAAGAAAATCACATTGCTGAGAACTTACAATCTGGACACCATATTTATCAGCCCGGGTTAAATCTACTAAGAGCGTGGATAAGACAACAGATATCAAAGGAGCAATTGCAGGTACCCAGAAGAGACTCTTCCTTTTCTTTCCCTGTAGAGTTTTGACAATATTACTCAAGAGTTACAAGATTATGAAAGTTTTCTTCTTGAAATAAATGTGAAGTACGCACAATGTACTTAGCAAATAGAAGGAATGCCAAAAAGATTGTCCCTATCAATATGGTCTGCCAATTCCACTGCAAAGCGAAAAAAAATTGTGCAAGATTAAGACTTTAGTTACGTAGCCCCATCTTAGCAATTAACGAAAGGGAATTTAGTAGCTTTACCCCATGGTGAACTGAACCCCAAACAGATTTCATTACAGAAATGATATCTGTGTTCTTGGTAAAATTCTTAATTCCAAGAAATCCTTTCAGCTGCTGAAGAGCAATGGTAATGGCAGCCCCACCCATAAACCCCACAATGGCAGCATGAGAAAGAAATTCGATGAGAAAGCCTAATCTGTGACATCAAATAATAAAAGTTGGATTTCCAAATGCATAAGAGGCAATCGTAGTAACGTGCATAGAGAGAGGGGAAGCATTTGCCTCAGGAAGCCCAGAGTTGCTTGGGTGACACCCGCAAAGAAAGTAGCTGTGAATGCAAGCCGCCGGTACTCTTCCTTATCGTTCAAAGGATCTACTTCATTCTGAAGTAGGGTCCCAAGCAACAGAGAAACAACTGCTACTGGTCCAATGGCAATATCCCTAGAGCTACCCATTACTGCATATATTAGAGGTGGAACAAAACTGGAGTCTGCAAAACGGCACTAATGTTATTCCACACAGGGGAAATAACTATGATATTTGGTGATACAGAGCAGTAAAACTAAACTTACAGAGGCCATATTTTGGATCCATGTTAGCAAGCTTAGCATACCCAATATCCTATAGTTCAAGAAAGATCAGGTTTCAGAAACTTATCCTAAATATTAGAACAAACTCAATTCAAATGTTCGCAAGGTATGTTGTGTACCTGAGGGATACAGAGACTAGCAATTGTCAATCCAGCAATAACATCTCCTTTAAACTTACTAAGATTGTAGTATCTGCCCCACTCAAGGACTGGAAACAGGAACTGAAGGCCTAGTAGCAGCTTTCTTGACTTGGGTTGATCTTTGTAAGGGCGTAAAGGATCATCTGCAAATAGTGTTTCCTTCACAGCATCGGCAAACTCTCTGATGAAGTTCCTCCGAGGGGGCAATCCAACCTTGTAAACAGATTTGTAATTTTCTGTCTGACCGTCAGTGGAAGAAAGGTTGTCAGTCTTGAGATGAATGTCTCCAACTCCATCAGAAACAGAGTGCACCATCATTGTTTTGTTTCTCTATAGCAGCAGGAGTGATGAACTCGAGAGGAGTAACCTTTAGTCTGTGATCACATATCAATGAAGTAGTTGTTGATATTCATACAGACACTGACACCAAAATATTTTTCATCAAAAGTGATATTATGTGGTTCCATTTCTAGTGCATCAAATGCAGAGGTATCGAAACAAGTGTTATGAATTAACCATATGCAGATTAGTATACCAAACTCCAACCCAATCAAATAAACCAATGAGTTGATCTATCATCTACCATGTTATAGGTTCCTAGAAGCAAAATGGCATAAAACACAAATACATAACAATTACCACACAACGGCCATACCCAGAAGAAAGATGCTAAATGCTTGTTTGAAACAGTAAACTTCAGTTGTTTCTCCCTCAGGGAGATTATGATGATACATTTGCATGTAACAAATACATATATATAAACCAGACACAAGGGTCAAATAAAACAGCATATGCAATTTGGCAAAGTCAAAGCCTTGGTTCTCACAAGAACTAGTAGGATACCCTATCTCCTGGTTAGACTTCTCAACTATCTCAAACTATCATGCCATTTATGAATCTAGATCATAAACAAGCCACATTCAAGTTAGTGAAAGCATGGTAGGAAGCAAATAATTCTTTCAGCAACAACTATTGACTCCTTGTAAGCAATATAGACTAGTTAAAGCTAGTTCCTGGTCAAACAAGTCATCTAAAGTAACATTACCTAGATGATACATACGCAACAATCAAGATATTGTGGCAAGAGAGGAAGAACTAAGCCTACTGGTGTGACAGAATACGAAAGGTAATTGATGGTTTGCAATATATAAGAGATCTTAATAGGTGGATGGCTTAGATATTAAGGTGTACTTGATTAATCTTTTTGTCGATTTTTATATTAAAATAATTCCTATTTTAGCTAAGTTGATACAATGAGCAAAGAATGATGAGAATAGACTTCATGTGGTTTGTATAGAAAAAGTGTATATTCCAACAGCTTCCTTCCACCACACCATGCCTTTAGAATAAGGCACCTCTGGTGGTTCATGTGATGTCTTCTTCCACCAGCTGGTGAAGTACCACTAGCAGATCCATAATGAAAGCATGTCTTGGGGAAAACAAAGTAGAACTATGCCGCATTCAGGAGGAGGAGGTCAAATGTTGAACAAAAAGCAAGAGCAGGACTGAAAGGAAGATTCTGTAACCATACATTTCAACACATAACTTTTCTTTTTCCCATACTGAACAAGAACATCTTATTGCGAAGGAAAAGAAAGCATATCTTCCAAAAATCATGCTACATAGACTCTTCGATAAAATATATATTATTGTTCCATGTCAGTCCACATAAGTAGAACAACTATCGCAACATACGAACTACTCTGAAACCCAATCATCATGGAACAAGCATGTGGATGCTCATAAAAGAAACACCAGATTGCAGCACTTGCATATTCCTTTAAACTCCTCCCTTTTCAGCAATCATAGGATTTCGAACAGCTAAATTTTGATCACAGAATGAACCATGCACCAGGCAAAGTATATGTATGAATATACATATACACACATAGGTCAAAATAAAATAAAATGCTAAATCGGAGATCAATCTACAACACACAAAGCTCTTCCTTTCTCCTGCATAGTTGTTCTTATAGCATACACGTGTATGATGCAATGCATAAAACTGCAGTACCCTAAAAGAGAGAGATTGCAAGGAAAAAGAACCCACCTTTACAAAGCGAAACTAGACCTCCACCCAGCAGCCACTGATTGTGGCCTCCCAACCCCTCCTGCCCTCTCCACCACCCAATCTCCTTCGTCCTCTTTGATTCTTTTTCTCTTGTTTTTGAAGGTCCTGTTGAGATCGCTCACCTTTTCGAAGATTCGCCTCGAGAGTCAAGACACGATTCATCACTACAATCAATATTATACCCAAGCGTGCGAAGAAAGGTTGGAAGAAGAACCACCCCGAGGAAACCACATTTGTCTCCTTCCCCATCTTATCGCTTGCCACACACCCCGAACGGTCACGAACGATTTGGAACCTCCAACATAAAGTTGGAACGCGGGGACGACGAGTCCAGACCCGTCCACGTTCATTGAATCTGACAACAAGCGTCCGTGTTGCTTATGTGTCGTCAAGATTCGTGCGGATGAGCTGTGGCCAGATGGGCCACGTGGCCAGAGTGGCTTGGACAGGCTACTAATAATACTCATGGGCTAAAATTGATACAACCGTCTCGACACGTGTTGCTGTTTTTGTTTTTGTTTTTTGTTTTTTGTTTTTATAAATCGTCAACGCTCATCCAACAAAAAGTACACACGTAAAAAGCTGAAAGCCACAAAACACGACATAACCCCTTCGTCCCCGCCACCGATTCCCCACTCTGAGACATGGAATCACCGAACAGTAGTAGTATGTGAACAGCTGTCGCAGAGGACGAAAACATGTCACATGATAGAGCAGGAGTTGGGGTTATCCTCGCTGAACATATCGGCGAGCTGGTCTTCTTGCTTGCGGCCATGGTCGGAGACCACGGCAACACACTCCACATTCCTAACGTGACCTGACGGAGCCTTCTTGTCGTAGATGCCTGCGGTGTAAGGGTGTGTCACCAAGCTGTAAGGAAGGTAAGGCCAGAGCTCGGCCTTGTTCCCTGTGGCCTTGGCCTTCCTTAAGACCTGGTTTGGCTCCACGTAGCCGGTGACGGTGGCCTTCTGCTGCTTCCTGTCGACGTCAACCGATTGAACCCCTACGAAGTCCATGAGCATGCAGGCGGTGAGGTCCTAATGTTCAAATGACAATGTGGTAGAGATCGAAAGAGGCATACCGTTGATTGAAGAAAGGGCTTTCTTGACTTTAAGCTCACAGCCGTCGCAGTCCATTCTGACCTTCAGCTCCACGGTCTGAAACTGCTTCTTCTTGACCTTGTGGCCGGTGCACAGGAAGCCAGATAGGTAGTCTAGGGTTTCTTCCATGGTCGTTCTGAGAGATTCTTCTTAGTAGGTTTATGTGTGGAGTGACGAGCTCAAGGTCATAGATGCAACATTTACTGCCAAGCTCAACCCTCCTTATATAGCCTTTTTCTTCAGAAAAGAACTGAAACCAGAAACAAAAGGTCTCATCTCCCAAAGCCAAATGCATGTCTGAAAAGAAAGGCTGAACAGGAACAGTAAAGGAAAGGTAAGGTTCTTTTGTGTATGTTATCTTGGTATGGTGTTGAACCTGTAAGTATTTCCCCATGATGAGAGACACTTCTCCTCCAATGAAACTGATGGAGAATGAAATCACGCCATGATTTGCTGTCTGATCGAAATAACCATGTTATTGCCCACATACGAAAGGCGACATGAGATTTCGTCCCTCATGGAAGGTGCAAGCAAGCTGTGGGATGTACTTAAAAGCACAGCTGAGGAGAAGAGCAGTTGCATTCACTTTCTCAGAAGAGATGGTTTGATGCATATGAACTCAGAATTCCGGGGTGTAGATGCAGATGTTTCACCTTGATTTATGCATCTACTCTTCTGCAAGCGGTTGGCATAGAAGTGGTGATCAGATGGAAAGGCGATCTCCTTCTTGATCATACTCCATAACCTGTAGCTTCTTATGATGTCACAGGAGAAGAGAGTGTTAGTAGGTTCACCGACCTGAGTTCTTTTCCAAGTTTCAGATGTTATAACCTGCATCTTTTTTGGCAAAGTGGTGTGGAAACTGAAGGTAGTATTAGAACAATAAAGGTGATAGTTGAGATTGGAAACTAAGAGGAGCTGTGAAAAGAGATCACCCAGGAAGGTGCATGCTGAAGAATCTTTAATGGATAAATAAGAGAATATGGGATGCCAACTTTACAGGCTTTCTGTAGTGTACCTGATAAAGACTTCAGTGAGATTCTTGGTCTAGTTCTCCTGGTTGCCACAACTGCAAGCAAGAAGACAAATGAATTCAAGATTCTTAGGACTAAAATAGACATAGATTTAAATGACACATTTGCAACACAAACCATCCACTGTACATTAGTTCATACAGAAAAAGAAATGTCATGTAGGCATCTACTCTACATTAGTTCATATAGAAAAAGAAATATAATGTAGACTGTATAGATTGACGCTCCCCAGGTTCTGTGTTGTATGAAAGATTCACATGTTAGGTAGAAAGGTAGAAAATTTAGATTTCAATTGAAACTTCAATGATCTTGCTTGACAAAAGTATTGCACAAAATTTCTGAAAAGAAAAAGTTGACATTAACTTTGATATGTGCTATCTGGAAGGAACCATACATTTAAACACCAAAAAAAAAAAAACCGATGGAAGACTTCAAACCATTATTGCCACCTTATCAGTACTCAAAACACAGATATAAAGCTAGCTAAAATTACTATAACACAATGGCCATGCATGACAAAGAGAGAACAAAAACATAATGACTGAAGGTTTGGAATTATTAGCCATCACCAATGCCATTTAAGAGGTGGAGATCTGAAGGACATGCTCAACTTTAAAAAGCAGAAAAAGGATGAAAAAAGTTAAAAGAAAAGAGAAGAGATACAGAGTGAAGTAAACCTGTTCCCGAGAGGAAGGTAAAGAGACTTTTGTTGATGCTCGCAAAGGCAGTTAATAGAAAAAAGAAAAGCAACTCCTACTTTTTCATGACGAAGACATGCTTCTTCCTCTCGGAGTACGCCATCGACAGCAATCTTTCAGGAAAGGGATAAGAGACTTAAAAGCCCTTTGCAAGAAGAAAGAAGTATTTGCCATTGAGTTCCATGAACTGCTGTGACCTACACAAGCAAAATAAGTCATTAGCTTCATGAGAAATAATAGAGTCGAGTAAGAGAGGAATATCATACAGGTGTAAGGTATGTTTATTTCAGCAAGATCATACCAGTTAGCAAATGGATTCGTTGATCGCTTTACAGTGCTGATCACAATTTTCCTCGTACTCAGAACTAGATTTCCTTTCCTTCACCTGACCAGTATTAGAGACAACAGGAATGAAGGTTGTCTAGGAGTATCTCCTCAGAAAATAGCTAATCTCAGGTACACAAACTGGTTTCAAGAACTTGTACCTCTCATATTGAACATAATGAATTACATGGAGTACACAATTAATACATATTAATCGGCTCATTTTGTTACATCAAGACATGCAGCGTCTATTTACATGTCCATGATAAACATTTCCCTTGCATGCTCAATCTCAAGCTTGTGAATCTTCACATGTCAACAACAATAACCATTCACCACCACTCTTCTAATCTCCTTATGGACTATGTACTGTGAATGATGTTTCTCCAAGCCCAAAATTGGCAATGTCATCTGATGATAATTGTTATGCTTCCCTTGTGATCACCATGGCGACACGAAACAATAGTTATGGCCTCTTCGGTACTCTGCTTTTGAGTATCATTTGCAGTTTCTGTCTCTCTCCCTCCACCTCAGCAAACTGCAGACTAAGCTGAGAGTATCGACCCTGCATCTCATTAAGCTCGGTCTCCACAGCAGCATTCCTGCTCTTCAACTCGAGCATTTCTTTAATCAATTCATTAATGTCCTTGAAGCTCTGGAACCCTACTTCTTCATCGGTGTGTTGCTTCAGGAACGAACTGTACATCAAGCAAAAGAAAAGGAGAGCGTTCTGATTGTAGATTATAATTCAAGATCATCGTTCATATTGAAAACTACTCTGCTTGCCACTTCATGCAGTATACAATCTTGTCAGGCACCGAGATTTAGTAACTTATTTTCAACTGCAAACATGAGAGCTGGCCTAGATGAGACAACGGAAAGAGATGCAATATAGGTGAAATCCAAGAATTTATCAGACAAATCAAAAGGATGCTGGATATGTCCTCAGCTATAAATTAAAAGGTATAATAACTTTGACTAAAACTATGCATCAACCAACTAAAAAACAAATCTGGTAGTTCACCCATCGCATATTCTGTTTGTTCCATGAATCCAATATTGATAGGGCTATTTAAAATTGAGAAAAAGAATACATGACACAAAGGTATCTTGGTGTAGTGGAACTAAAAGTAAATAAATTTACCTCTGGAAACAAAAGTCAGCTTTCTTCTTTGTCTGCAATGTTTCTGCAAGTTCAAGTTCTAATGAAAGTACTCTTTCCAATGCATTGCCATTTCCAGGAAGTTCTTTGAACAAAGGGAAAATGCTTCCCAATTGCTCATTCGCCTAACCATGAGAGGTTGAGAAATGGTTAATAACCTCAGATGCAGAAATGTACAATTTATTTTTCTTGGCTTGCAACACAATACATACCATATCAAGCCGTGACAAATCTCTTTCTAATCCCGGAAGGGATGGCAAGGATTGATGATCGTCTAATGGAATTAGCGATGACAAGTTCTCATTTTTTAGCTTTTCCAACTGCAAAGTTTGTAAATGTTAGAAGATAGTAGTAGTAGCCTACTGTAAACTGATGTTCAATGGGAACAACCATGCAGAAATGAAAAATATGCCTAATCCAACATTCCCAATGCATCTTGGCCCTAAATTATTGTAGGGACTAATGTCCTCCAATGGTAAAATGGTTATTATGACTTAAAACATGCATCACCTGTCCTTTCATACAAGTTCTGCTTCACTGGAATTTGAGCCCATTTTACATAATGATCAAGTAATCAACACACCCGACATACTCATATGGTTCATCATCTCTCTTTTCTTGTTGATTCTTTTCAGTACACATAAAGCTTCTTGGAAAAAAGAACCCCTCTACCTCTATGCCTCAACAGATCAAAATATTCATCTTGTATTATTTGACAATTTCCTTCCTCAACTTTCCACAATTTCTGCAACATTACCTACACCATGATTATTCTGTAAATAATGGACTTAAGCCTGTAGCAATTCAATTCGGTGAATAAGTAGCTGACTACCCTATCATTTCTTTAACATAACATCTTTTTGTGTTTATTGAAATATTATTGAAAGTAATAATATCTGCTGAAACAAGTTGTGTATTTTACCTCTTTTTGTAGCATGTTCATGCCGGACATCAATCTTTGCAGCTCTTTGAAATGCTCCTCAGTAGCAGTGATACATGTTGTGTTATCTGCCAACAACGTATGTCGTTCAAGTGTACCTCCAGTATCCTGCCAAGATGCATTGTGAGTACCAAAAACTTACAGAGGTTCCATGAAGTTCCTAAGTGCATAGGTGAAATTTTGGCAAAAGATTAAATGGTGTTTGATGAAGCCTATTAATGCACTCTAGTGCCAACGCAAGAAATGATCAAGGTGCTGGGAAAATCAAGAATTAAAACTAAAATTTCTGAATAAAAATTAGTATCATTTGCACGGTCTAGAAAGTCGACTGCACCGGTCAGTACAGGATAGTATTTACCGATGTGATAGTAGAATAGTACACAAGCTGGACTATTTCGTCCGGTTTAATCTGATACCCAACTTATTTCTTAGTAATCTTACCAGGCACTGACTGGGCTTTCTACCAGGTACCAATCTACAACCTTATCTTTTTACCATCTCTAATCCTATTTCTCAACCACACGTGCACCTCCGCCATTTCTCTCTGTATGTGTATGTGCCTGTAGTAGCCCTGAAAATTCTGATCAATACCTGACCCATACCGACACTATATGGTACTAGAATCATATCGGTCCAACCACTGACCGGTATCCTACCCAACTGATTTAATCCATTAACTGTAACTATAAGCATAATTAGGTAAAACCTCTAATAGACAAAGCACCCTATTTTACTTCAAGGGACAAGTGTTATAGGTTCTGCAAACCAAAATAGAAGGTATGTATCAAGGAACATAAATACAGTGGAAGACCAGTTCATCTGTGCTTACGATATTATTTGTCACTCCTCAATACTAACAAAAATCCACAGCAAAATTAGATCATATGGCTCCTTAACAGTGTTAGGCCTATTATACGGAATACGAAATGCTTGCAGCTTTAGAAGTATCAGCTCTTTTTCACTAGAGCAGGACGGATAACATACAACAAATTCCAACCTATATGATCCAGTAAAGCCATACTAACTATATTCAGATTGCCCTCTGAAATGCTAAAATGCCAATCAAGAGACCTTCCTGGCAAAAGATATTTTTCTCCACAAGACAATCTTGAAGATTTTACCAGACTAGCTTTCATACCCTTTCGTTGCTAAAAAAATAAGACCAAAAACACATTTTAGTAAACTTTCTAAAGATAGTACTTCATTTTAAAAATCACCTTTAACCGATATATCCAGAAAATGATGACATCATGTTGACTTTTAGACAACTTAAAACCTTGAAATTCTTTTCCCCTGCCCTTTCCATTTTTACCATAACTTTAGAATACAAGAAAGCGGAACATAAACTTGACATTATTCATAAAAATGGCAACCAAGAGAACTGTCACTGAAGTGCCCAGGTACAATTCCTTTCTGTTTGTGAATCTCCACCACCCACCTCTTTGGAAGAATAACATGGGTGATTATAGTTTTAAAAATACTGGAGTTGGACAAAAAGTGTATCCTTTTTAATATCTGAAGAAAAGAATACTTCATATACTATGCAACACCTTGATAAAATGTATAACATAACCAAAAAAGACAAATGAAAGAGAAAATGAATTACCTTAAAAGCTTGTGAGCTTAATACTGGACATGAAAGTGAGCTCTCATTGGCACAAGTTGACATCATGACTTCAACATCTCCATTTGAGTTTAACTCACCACCTGTCTTCCAGAGGTTGACATCTATATTGTTCAAAGGATTGGAAACAATTCCAGCTGAAGCATCTATTCCCAAACAAGTACCTCTGTCATTTGGCATCTCTTGGAAGACAGATGGAAACCCAATGCTGCTGTCTTGCAAGATTTGCTCAATGGATGTTGTGGTAGGAAAACCAGAGTTGTTGCTGCTTTCCAAATTAATGGTTTCATTTGAAGCCATATTGCTGAACAACCTCTTAACCAAGTCAAGCTCCACTTTAGCTTTTGTTCTTTCTTCATTGCATTCCTTCAAGGAACCTTCAAGCATTAACTTTTCTTCTTTGCAACAGTCAAAGTTAAAGATAGTGCACTCCAGTTCATTCTTTGTTCTATCATAAGTTTTGGCTAGTTCTCTTCTATCAGTCAGAACTCTCTCTAGCTCAGACTCCAAGTTTGATATTTTTCCTGACAACTCTTCAATCATTTTCAATAGAGAAACCTCATTTTTCTTTGTGCTCTCAACTTCATCAAGAGCATTTTGCAATTTCAATAACATTTCTTCTGCATATTTCTTAGAAACAAATAGCTGATTTTTTAGCTCTTGGATCTTGGATTCATGTTGCTCTTTGATAAAAGCAATTCTCAGTGATTCCTGGGATGATCTCTCATTCTCCTTCTTTTCACGAGCTTGAAGACACTCAGCCTCTGCTTTATCTTTGAGTTCTCTTAGATGGATGGAAAGGTTCTTATACTCTTCTGCCTTCAAAATCTGTTCTGATAGTTTACAACTAAGCTCATTATGGTGCTCTTGTAAGGTCCTCAATTCATGGTCACATTCCTCAAGCAATAATCCTTTTGTTTGTTGTTCATTCAATTTGGATCGGAGCACTATATCTGTAACTTCTAATGCAACCTTATAAGATCTTAAGTTGCACACCTCTTCTTCAAAACTAATCAGCATGTTTTTCAGCTGAGAAATCTCATCTTCATACTTCTGCTTTTGGTGATTACTATCAGCTTCTAGAGTTGAAGCTCTAACCTTGATATCTTCAAATTCTGTCCATGAAGCATTTCGTTTGTTAACATAATCAATGAGGTTTTCTTTCTCCTGAAAAACCGAGTCATAATCAGATTGTAATGATTGAAGGGCTACTGATAATCTTGCATTTTCCTCAGTTAATTGTGCTTCATTGGCAGAACATGTGTTTAGCAATGTGACAACATTCTCATGCTTCAAATTCATCTCCTCAAGCTCTTTTTCCAGTGTCTTAAGTTGTGCAAATAACTTCTGCACATTCTCACATAACTGACTTCTCATAAAAGTAACTTTCATCTCAGCAGCTAATGAATTCTCAAGGATTGTTGCCAATTGATTCTCCATATCCATAATCTGCACGTGCAGGGATAAGTTCTCAACATCTAGCCTTCTTTGGTTTTCTTCATTCTTCAACAGTAGATGCTGAAATCCAGTGTTTGTTTTTTCTAAATCCACAATCATTTTCTGCAAATAAGCTACTTCAGTTTTTTGTTCACAAAAAGACAACAACTCCTGATCTTTTTCCTTCAGTTGTGCCGAAAGGCTGGTGACTGCAGCTTCAAGTTCCTCTCTCAATTTCTTTTCTATCTGCATATCTCTATGGGTGCATTGTAGACTTTCTTTTAGACTGTGAAGCTCATTTTCCATTTGGGTGGAAGCCTCATTCCCAGACTGAATAGACATCGACAAATCCCTCCTCTCTTGCATGCAATTCATAAGACTGAATTGAGTTTTTTCAAGTTCCTCCTTGACACTCGCAAGTACCAATAGTTGGTTTATTAGATCCTTGTTCTCATCAGTAGCTTGCTGCAACTCAATTTCTAAATTTGTGAGTTTTGATGACAATTCTCTATTTCTCGATTCATTCTTCTCTTCAGCTTCTGAACTAATCTTAAGCTTTTCCAAAACATTTTGCAGTTCCACTTGAAGCTTTTCAACAAGTACATTGGACATTTCTAGCTTTTCAGTGACTTCATGTAATTCAGATTCAAATTTCTGCTTCATACTAAGAAATTCCGATTCCGATTTTTTCTGTGAGCACTGAGCAATATATCTTTGTTCCTTGATATCCCTGTTCTCTTGATGTAACTGGAGTATTTTCTTTGTTGTGTCTTTCTGAAACTGTTCCAAATTCATAATAACAGGCATATAATTTCCAGCTTCGAATTCCTGTAAAACTGATATGCCACCAGGAGCAGAATAATTGATTTGCTCATAGCAAGAACTCATGCAAGTATATAGATACCCCAAATTCTCTTGAAGATGATCAACACAAGTTCGCATTTTATCATTTTCAGAAGACTTCATTTCAGATTCTTCCTTCAATGTTTTAAAATCCTCAATTATCGAGCTCAGTTCAGCCTTAAGACAATCTTTTTGTAGGTTTTCCTCTTTAAGCAAAATTTTTAACTTGTCCCTTTCTTCAATGCAAGCCTTATACTCTTTTTCATAAACTTTGCTTTCCACAAACAACCTCTCGTATTCTGCAACCTTTTCACTAAGTATAGCACTTTCATCAGACACATCTTGGAGTTTTGCTTCTAGAACTTGGTTTTTCAGTGTTAAACCTTCACATCTAGAGATGCATTCAGCTTTATCATCCCTAAATACTCTAGCTTCATCTAATGCTTTATGCAACTGAAGCATGAGGCTGTCCTTTATCTCTGTTTCACGTTGCAGCTGCTGTGCAAGTTCGAGCATAATGCCCTTCATATGCCGAACCTCATCATTTGCATCATAGAGTATACATTGTAAAACCTCTGAGAAAACCTTCAAATTCATGTTTAGCATATGCATTTCTGAAAGTTCAGCTTCCATATTCGAATGAAGCAATTTCAACATGTGAAATGAAATTCTCATCTCTTCTATACCATTTGCATCCACCATCTGTTGCTTATCTGATTCAGGATACAGACTTCGACTTTGAGTGGCTTTAGCATCATCCAGCAACTGAGAATCAAGCTTCGACATGAGAATGGCAGATCTTTTAGGAAATTCTTCATCTCTATATGTTCCTGGGGATAGACCAGCAGTAAGTTTGCTCGTGTTCTGAGTATGGTGTAAAACGTGCTGTCCAATCTTATGTGAATTAAATCCATCCATATGTGTCTCATCCCTAGTTCGCAGCTCTACATGCGTGGGCACCCCTTCCTGAGATGTTATACTACTAGCTTTGCAACAGACAGATATAGATCCACCATTATCTAATGAATACCATTTGTGAGTGGTCCCATAAGGCCCATTTTCTGCCTGAATTCTTGGAAGACCTGACTGGTAGTGTTCTTGATCAAACGAAGTTGGCATACCATCCTTATCAGTACATGACCTGGCCTCTTCTGGACTTTCTTCATGGTAGTGCTGATAAGCATCTGCAAGTGCTTGCTTTGCAAGATTTTCGTTCGTCTCATACATAGACAAAACTTGAAAGGAGAGTAATTCAAGGTCCTTCTGCAAACGATCAAATGCTATGGAATAGTTCCAACGAACCCTTTTTAATGCATTTTCTGAGGCAATCGCCCTTCTTTCAAGTTCCTTGTTTTGAGATTCTAAGCTGGTTCTATCTTCAGCAAAAGTTATATACTGTTCATTCATCTCTTGGTGCATTTTCTCTATCTGGTTTTTCAGAACAGATATTGAATATAGACAAGAGGAGTGTTCATTTCTGAGATTTTCCAGTTCCTCTACTGTTTGTTTCTGGCTTTGCTCCAATTCCAATATCAATGACTCATAGTAGCAGTGCATCTGGTCCATCTTCTTGGTAAGGCTTTCCTTCTCAGTTGTCAACTCCTCCAGTTTCGGTAAAAGATCAAACATTTTGTCCTCCCTCAAGCTTAAATGTTCAAGATTGTTCTGAAGAGTGCCATGCTCATTATATACTGTATGAGAATCGGTTAAGAGATGAACTGTGTGTTCCAAATGATCATTATCTCTGTAAGATCTGTCGAGACCCTTTACTTGGATAATATCTTCTTTGAGATCACCAATAACACACCCAAGAAGATCAAAATCAGGGCCTAGATAATCAAAATCAAGGCAAGCCTTATTTTGAATTTCTAGAACTTTGCTCTCAACGAGCAACAAACTCTCGAGCCATTTGACCCTCAAATCATGGTACATATAGTGGGTCTCTGCAGCAGCTGTATCATTTTGAAGTTTACCAGCATTTGAATCATCACCTAGGTTGTGGTTCAATATTAAAGGACAACAAGTTCTCTGGTCAGCATTTTGCTGCATAAATTTAGCAGATTTTAAGGCTTCAAGATCATCTCTAAACTTTGAACACTCAACTTTTAACACAGACACTTCTCTAGTCAGTTGTTCTCCAGAAGTAAGCTCAAAAGAGAACTGCTTGGACAAACTTTGTGTTTCTGCACCTAATTCATCTGTAACTCGCTGCAACGACTTTGCTTCTAACTTAAGCTGTAAAAATGCTGATTCTGCTACCTCCAATCTTACTCTGAGTCTGGTATTTTCTTCAGAAGCTGTAGTAAGATTAGCAACAGAATAGTTTGAACTCCATCCATGTGTCCAACCGTTCCGCCCCTGGTTAGATAACTGACTGCCATTGGGATCACCAGTACCAGGCATAGGGCTCTGGCTGAGGGGTACATCATGACAAATCATACTTTGAAGGTCTTTCTTTTCAGTATACAAATTTTCTGAGGTATATGATGAGCCATCAACTCCAACAGATGAGTCATCATAATCTTCGTTCGACTCTCCCACTGGTTCAAGTGACAGGAGCCCCATATGATCCTCGTACCTGACTCTGGCATCAACCTATTCACAATACCAACCATTAAGGGAATGTACCTACCGCAACCAAACAATTTTCTGTATGTTTTAAATATCAACAAAGAAGCAGATACCCTAGGACAACTTACTGCAAGTATTTATTATAGTAAAACCTTTAAAAGAAATAAGCACTATAATTGTACTTGAAATCAAGTACTCTGAAGAAACTTGCTACCAATCATTTAGAATTCTTTAAACTACTCGATGACACATAGGCAGAGTTCATTTTCAAGAAACTAAGTGATCTCTTCAATCATCTAAAGAACATTTAAAAGTGCATAATAGTCACTTCAACAATGGGTCAAGAATAAATTATTATGAAAATTCCACATGAAAAAGAAGGTAAACTTTAAAAAGAAAAAAATGTCGCAGACAATTTTGGTGACAGTATGTACCGGCTTGAAGCTTAACTTTTCATGTTAGCACGACATTTTCCATAGATGACCTGACCAAAATTAATCAACCACTAAAATGACTACCATATACATAAGGATTGATTATGCCCAAGCCTAAAACAATGCAGACCAAACCCCTAAAAATTAGCTCTTTAATTGCTGTGTGGATTATAACTCATGCATTAGTTGAAGCCTAGCCCATAGCTGATGTATGACTAACCAAATCAGGGTATTATGTGACCAATCTCAAAATTGAATCCTATGATCAAGTAAAGAACAATGTCATGACATGGAGAGAACAATCGAATAAACAATTCCTCTTTTCCTTCTCTTCTAAGAGATACAATACAGTAAATCTTAGCACAGTCCTTGAATAACTGAATCTAGGCTATCCCATCATTCTGAACAATTTTTTTGAGTCTTAAAGAAAATACTTAATGGAAAGATGCAACGAATATTGCTTCTTACCAGCCAGTAAGCAATTAAAAACATATAAATGAGACTGTCTTTCATTTGAATAAATCTAATATATCAATGATGCGGAATTGTAAATTTTAATGGAAAGCAATTTCAATCACCCAAATTTAGTCATTTTCACCAAGTCAGAAGGTCATGACTGATGAGGACTGAAAGGCACAAAGATTTCTGCAAGTAAATATTTCAATGGCAGTAAACAAAAATTTTAATTATAAATAATACCATACCTTCTCTGTAAGTTCATTGGCTATCACTGATGAAGTGGTTTCAGCTTCAGCAGGATTGTTTCTATGACTGGATATCATTTGGGCTCCCTTTATGCTAAGTTTGTGTTGCTGCTCAAATTCTCTAATGTAACAATGCAACATGTGAGAGCAGTGGATGAAAGCAATGAATACTGTTAACAAAAGAAGCAGATGATTTTAATGAAGTGGCACCTGAAGCCAGTTTTGGAAGTAAGAAGCTGCACTGTGACCTGGAATACACCAAGAAAAAAAAAACATTAAAATGATAAAGAACATAATAGCTGTAAAAGAATATTGAATTTTAACATCCTAAGTCATCATGATGGAGTATAAGTTGGAGAGTACACTCATTACCCTCTGGAATTCCAATCATATTTTTAAACGACTTACAGATAGTTAGTTTTCAGCTGAATGGATCCTACATTATCTTCATGAGTTAATCTTTAGTTAGTTGGTAGATGAAATGATTACATAGTTCAAATGGGAACTATTTTGAAATGCAATTCTTCTTCAAATAAGGACTTAATTCGTTGAAATATGCATTGTATAGTGAAATAATTTCATAAACAAAGAAAATTTTTGAACAAGGTTTGCCTCCTTTACCCCCTCTTGGTACTCCTCATGTCCTTCTGCACACTTTGCTTATTATCTATAAAAGCTTTTTCATATGTTCTGTTCAATCACCCTGCAATTTTAACTGCTGCATTAGTCCTTTTCACCTGATCCAGAAATAATTGACTATTTGATCCATGCCTCAACTAAAAAGAGTTTTATTCTTAGTTTCTTATCTCTGAAATTGAGTCTTCAAACTTAATAGTTTCATTGTGAAACCAAATTGAGCATCGAACAACCTTTGTTCTCAGATTTAAACAACCAAAACTGAAAATCTGAACTTAAGGCAACTAACATATAATTGCATTAGTGTCACCACTGTCCAAATCAGGATTCATAATTTCGCTGGGACTGGTACATACCAGATAGTATTTATCGGTCCAGACAAGCCAGGATGTAGACCGCCCCTTTTCTGGGTGGTTCAGTCCAGTTTAAGATTTAATAAATCCTCTCTCTCTCTCTCTCTCTCTCTCTCTCTCTCTCTCTCACTCTCAATCACGACCAACAAGCTCCATGGAGCATGCTGCCCACCCATTGCCCATATCGTTGGTGCTTCTCATCTACCTCATTCTTTTCTCCTATTTCTTGGTGCTGCAGCATAAACCAGCATAACGTGTTGGTATGATGGTACAGACCAGACCTGTACAGGTCTAGCCATAGGCCAGTATGGGTTCAGTATCCGAGATGTTGAACCATGGTCCAAATGACCCTTTGTAGCTATTTCTACTGACAGCAACAAATTAATCAGTTCTAAATCGTGAATATCGTTCCTCCAAGGACCAATATCAAAAATTGCAAAATACATTAACAAAATCTTCTATGTTAAAAGATATTACAATTGTCATGAAGTTGACCTGAATTATAAAAGCATACAAGTGTTAGAGACCAACAGTAGATTCCATCCTTTGGTGTGATCATTTACCATTGCCATGGATAGCCACTGATTCACGAAGAACTATAGAGTCCACTCATCATTGGCTTAAATTTTATAACAAAAAGTTCCAGAAAACACAGAAGCAAACATTTGCAAGAAACAACAAAAGTATGTTAAGAATGCTGAAATAGAAGAAAGCATGCTCACATGTAAAATTGTGCCAAAATCACAATTATTAAGAGGCAACGAAACAGAAGAAGGCTTCAGTGCATCTGCGAAGTCTGCAAGATTGATATTAACTTCTCCAAGAAAACTTGTCCTAGGAGACCCCTGAAAATATTAGATTTCCAAAAAAAGAAAAATGAGCCAATCACAGCTGAATACCTCATATATGATCTGCAAAAATATAAAGAAAAATAGAAGCATTCAAAACAACATACGGATGCAAAATTGTACAAGTCAGTGGCTTTATCAGAGACGGCACTGAATAAAATGGTATAAGTTAAACAGAATTAAATACCATGGCCACCACAAGCTTATAATGCTTCTCGTCATAATTTTTAGTCCTTGTGTCCTGAAGAAGTCTTGCGGTTTCATAAACTGGATCTGGCCACTTGCAGATCCCATTTCTAACATTCGCTTTGTTTGTCTTTGCAGTTGCTTTGCCTGTGTCTATGGGGATAAAGGACACAAACAACTTGTCCCATCCTTGTGGTATCTGAAACAAGCAGAGATAATTCACTTATTTCTCTTATATTTATGAAAGAAATGGGTAAAATAAATACAGGTCAGTAACCTAGACATGTTAGTTTACTGCATTGTGTAACGTTTGAAAATGTTTTGTCAAGAATGAGTATATTGCAATGTTATTGAGCACTAGTACTATGAGATGAATTTTAGCTTATGCAAGTGACTTGTTCGGATGATTTTGACATTCAACAAGTCAACCAACGAGAGTGACTGCAATAGCATAGTTGAAATAATAAGTACATAAAATAAGAAATCAGAAAGGTTGTAAAGCCATGTCATTAATTCAATCTCTAATAAAAATTTTATTAAAAAAATGTAACAGATAGCAAAGAAACAAAAGGCCAAACAAGAAGCAACTAAATTGACTATATTTGCTCCAGAAACATGTCTAAAATTTGAAATTAGGTTAAAAAACCAAAACCAATCTTTGTTGATATTCTACACTGTTTTGATTCCAACAAATTATTCAAATTTCCTTTCGATTTCAATCACGAGAGAGAGAGAGAGAGAGAGAGAGAGAGAGAAATTCAGATATAGTAGATGCACAGATGAACCTCTCTGAGTGGATGAACTAATACCAGATGAACTTCGATGCATGGATGAAACAAGCATAAAAGAACACCCACATATCTCTGAGAACTCAGACACTTCTACCACCACCAACCTGTATCACTATAATGTCTGATGATATTGAAAGAAAAAACTCAACTAGTAATTTTTTTTATCATGATGAAGCTCTGATGAGAAGCCTCAGAAATAGGAGCTTTCCCAGATAAAGCAGTAGAAAGCATCACTTACTAAGCAAAGAATCAACAGAGAGAAATGGAGTGCCCGACAAAATAAACGGTCAAAAAACAAGAGAAAAAGAAAAAGTATCATCATGTGAACAAACGAGCATCTGCAAAAGCACGAAATTAGATAACTGACAAAGGTCCATACGACCAGCTAGCAATTCATATAAAGAAAAAATAAATAAAAACCTTGGAAAAGGCCGAGCTTACATGTGTTGCATGAAACTGCAGGCGGAAGACAACTTTCACTTTTGTCTTTTCGATCTTCCACTTAGGAATCCTCGACATTGTTCCCGAATCGGCTAATTATCAGCCAAAAACATCACCTTTCCTCTTCAATTACCTCTCTGCATTACACACCCAAGACCATGAAGCACTTTCTTTTTGGTAAAAAGACAATGTGACAAGAACGCAACATGTACCCTTTTTCTTGAACAGCAATTCATCAAAACAACTTGAACAAATTTCCAGACAGATCCAACTAAATTACTAAAGAATACGTACGAATCTAGGAACATACCAAAGAATCTCAGGCCGAAACATCCCAAAGCATATCTTTCCTCCAGAAATCAAACAAAAGAAGGGGAAGAACCGATAAAAGGAACTCAAAAGATCTACACATTTACAAAAAGAGAACGCAAGACAACCACACTTTCACATACACCGATTCGGATCCAAGAATCATCTCACAACCTGTTTTAAAACCAGATCCAGTCGCCCAGATGCAGTCGCCAATCGGCTTTACTGTACCAATTCTGCATCAAAGATCCAAGCTTCCCGCTAGCAAAAAAGCACGAAGAGAACCCGACGCCCATTAACTCACGCAGCAGAGGCGACGCCGCTCATGGCGTCAAACCCCGATCTTCTCCTTTTCCGAACGGCCCCAGATTTCTCACCGCGAACCAACTATATATTTCAACAATGGCCACAAGAACTGACAGACAGACACACTAAGGAAGCAAGCGATGGAGTGTGGCGCGCGGGGACGGACAGAATAGGACAGAGCGCAACTCTCGTACCTAACTCCGGATCTGGTGCGTGGAGGGTAAGCAAGGAGCGGGCGGGGCCGGTGGAGTCGTCGTTAGAAAGGCTCGTCGCTCGGCGGAAGTCGAAATGGGGGTAGGGTTCTTCCAGAAACCGGCAGTCGATCGAGCTCGCCAAATCCCGATCGAAGAGGACAGAAGAGAGGGGGAGAGAGAGGGAAGGGGGGGCTTCGAGGAAAGAAAGGTATGCCGCGCCAAAGCCCGACTGCTTTGTCAAGAAATAATAATTAGTAGTAATTATTTGATTAAGGGGGAGTGAGTGTACTAAGACGCAGGAAAAATGTACTTTTGGTCTTTAATTTGGGACAAATGGGCTGTGATTTGACCTTATTTTACGGAGATCACTGTGTGCTTTCGATGAGCCAAAGAAAATATATATACTATTAGACTAGATTTTGTTTCTTGTGGAGGAGTGGTTGATGAGGCGACGTGTGTCCAACAAATCACATGAGAAATATCGTGTTTATTTATCTCTTTTATTAAAATTTACCCGAAATTCCACCTGTGAATTATCCTTTCCATTAGATTCGATGAATCCTTGTCATGATTTCGCTGATACTGTTGTGGCTAAGATGTGTCCGCGCCGTAGTTTCCAGCAAGAGAGCCAATCAGAGTAGATCTTTGGCCATCAATCTGATATAGTCTGCACTAATTGATATTTTTCGTAATTTTTATTAAAATCTTATATTTATCTTAATTGTATATATTGGGAAAGAAAATAAGTATTTTAATTTTTTGGATAATTTTTATAAAATATTCATATTTAAAAATTTTATTTAAAAGATTTAGTTTTTATTTTTTTAAAATGTTTTTTTCTAATTTAATTTTTTATATTTTTTATTATTTTAACTATTGTAGTATTTTTTATTTGGCTTATTTATATTATTTTTTAATAATATTCATAGTATTCTATTAATGTAGTGTAAAATAAATACTATAAGTAATTTTATATCAAATCTTTTAATTATCATTGCTCTAATTTATTATAATATTATAATATTTTTAGACATAGTTAATTGGATTGAAGTTAAGAGTCTATTTAGACCATCTATAGTGTTTTCAAATTGGTTTCATAGTATTTTTGTTATGGTAATTAAAATACTATAGCTAAAAACATATATATAAAAATTTAAAAGGATAATTTAGATATTTTTAATTAGAGATTTTTTATAAAAAAAAGTAAAATGATAAATATTGATTAGAAATTATTCAAAATATGAGTATTTTTTAGAAATTATTTTAATATATATATATATATTTTAAATGAATAGAGAATCCACGTGGCGGTAGTGAATCGGGACACGAGTGTGGGACCGAACGTGTCCCGCGGGTCACATGGCACCTTCTCCCATGTGGGATGCCGGCGGATGGGTTCAAAAGGAAATGATTGATGAATTGGGCCCACCATGCCATCCTTGAATTAATTCAATAAATATATAATTTTTAGTAATTCATTAGATTGTTCTCAATCTTTTGATAGATTTTTTTTGTCTCACATGATAGAAACACAAGAGATAATCGATGACCGAGCAGGAAATACGATACTAAGAAACCCTAAGACACGTACAACACTGCACACAACATCTCAACTCCATGGCTACATCAACTACCACCCCCTTCAAGGATTACACACCTCACCCAGCGATGCCTTGGCTTGGCTTTCCGATGAGCCGTTAGGATGGACTTTCGCCTTGCACCCACCCTTCTTCTTCGTCTGCTGCTCTTCCTTGGCCTTCTTCTCCTCTTCCTTTCTCCTCATCTTTTGCCTGTACTGCTCTTGCTGGATATGGAGATGCCCGTAGCTTGCTCCCATGGACAGCATGGCGTGGAGACAAATGGGGACCGTGAAGGGAGGAGTTCTCGCGCTCGGCGGTGGGAGGGGAAGCCCCGGATGCGGTGGTATTTGTAGGAGGAGGTGGTGATGGCTGTTTCTGCCGCGAGCAATTATTTGGCTCGGGTAGGCCATACACGCCGTGATTGTGGGTGACGCCACACTGTTCCGAGTGCCTTTTTGACCTCCACGGAGACATCCATCACACAAATATCTGTGGGCGAGCCATGGAATGGCTTCTAGTTTAAAGCTGACCGGTGGGTGGCATATGTCCCCTCGTGAAGTCAACAATGTCATCTATGCCCCTTCCAATGCTTATCATCAACTCCATGATATTTTATATGCTCTATTTTCCACAATTCTGACTTATTAGGAGACAAATGGAGCATTTATTTCTTCGATATTTGCTTTTCTATTAGATAAAAACATAATCGCAATAAAAATATCAAATATATGATATTTTTTTCAAGGTGGGATGTAATATCATCACTCAAGATCTCCAATATTTGTTATTATTATATATATTTGAATGATATATTTCTTTTTTTGGTTAGATAAACCACCTTAATCTTCTTAGTCTACACCTTTTCCTGAGTCAAAGAAAGGATAGTTTGGTCTGGCTAATGTTTATAGGGCCCCAAAGTATATCCATCATTAATTACATGATATCTTTTCCTCCCTTTTTCACACGCAATTCATTGAAAGCCAAATGAAGAACAAATATTAGATATTTTCTATTGCGTCCCTTTCTAATTTATAATAGATACTACGCCTTAATCGTCAGTATAAGTACTCATAGTGTGCTCTATTATGACATTTGAGTGTCTCAATTCTTTGCTGATAGATCGATTATATCTTCAGTAAGTTTCCACTCTGTGCACGGAATCGTTTGGCTTGACGCTGAAAGCAGCGAGGGGGTGTACGCAGACTTGTGTGGTGGACGGAGATGGGTTTCTGTCCTTCTCCTGTCACCTTCGTGCACGACCGCCACTGCAGAAGAAGCTGCGACAGTGGTTGTGTGGCCTTTTGTGGATAAGGGTTTTGGATTGCTTTGATTGATCTCCCCTGCATCCGCAAAGGGAGTAGATGGAGAATGATTGTGGTGGAAGTGGTGGGGATGCTACGCCCTCTTCTGATCTCGATAACCTTCGTGGCCCCTCAATTGATTGCCACATTTAGAGTGGGTTATTGATGGATTTCTAGCCTCAAATCATCAGTGCATCATCCTATATACGACTCAGATTTTGGATCCTCATGTGTTTGTGTGTGTGTGTGTGCATATATGTATGTTGTTTGATCGATTTGCATATCAGCTGTAAATGGATAGCCAATATTAATCTTTCATGCTCGGATTCGGATGTCCTCAGACAACTACAGCAACAGTCGATGGCAGATGTTACCGGCAAAACACCAGAAGATGATTCGAGTGCCAGTCAAAGAATATGGAGGAGCACGTCTCGGCCGAGAAGCCTTGTCAGTCTGTGACATGCCTCTCGAACGCATTCCTCGCTGTTGAACGAGCTCACTCTGATGAAGCCTTCGCCTCCCGGCCCAAACCCACATCCCGGTACAGTGATGACGTGCGTCTTCTCCAGGATCTCGGTGAACACATCCCATGACCGGCGACCCGGGAAGCGCACCCACACGTAGGGTGAGTTGCTGCCGCCGTACGCCTCGAGACCCATCGAGCCAAACGTCTCCGCCAGTGTTCTTGCGTTCTGCTTGTACACGTCGATCACCTTGCTCATAGCCTGCGGCTTTGCGTTAGTACGAGGAGATTAATGTCATGACATGTTTGGATCATATGAGCGTGTACGGTTGCTGACCTTGCGACCTTCTACGGACAAACACGCGAGTCCACCGATCTGGGCGATGCTGGACGCACCATTGAAGCAGGTGCAGATGATGCGATCGAAGTCCTTGTGGACGGGGAACCCGTCGGAGTACGAGAGCTCATGGGGGACGACGGTCCACCCGAGGCGGACGCCGGTGAACCCCGCGGACTTGGAGAAGGAGGAGATCTCTATGGCGACCTGAAAGAGCGGTGTTGCTCAAGCAAAGGGGATTGCAAGTCTATGCATGATCAAACAGGGCTACCTCTTTAGCTCCGGGGATCTCGTAGATCGATCTGGGGCTGTCATCCGATATGTATGCAGCGTACGCAGAATCGTAGACGATGAGAGATCCATTCCTATGTGCAGTCTCAACCAGCTGCACTAGTTGCTCCCTGGATGCAGCATGACCTGTCGGGTTGTTCGGCGAGCAGAAGAAGATGACGTCCGTCCTCGGAATGCGGGAGAAGTCCGGGAAGAATAGGTTCTCCGGTCCACATTTCATGTACTCGATTCCCCCGTACTTGCTGCTGCCGGCGACGTAGTCTCCGGTTTGGCCCATTATGATGCCTGAATCAACGTACGCCTGTTCATCCAACAACATTCGATCTCATCATTCCAACAGAGTCATCGGATTCGATCGCAAGTATCTTCTGGCATCAAACACATCACCGGAAAGGTCGGGTCTTGCACGGCAATCGTCACGTCGGATCCGAGCAACAGCTGCACGCGAGAGATGTCACATTGTGCACCGTCCGAGATGAAGACCTCGGTGTCTTCTATGCCCATGTCTCCGTACATCGTTGCAGCAATCGTCTTGCGCAGTGTCTGAAAGATCAAGAAATTTAGGAGCGTGTCTTCTCCGACTCGACATCACGAGGCAAGCAACGGAGGATGATACCTTGTTTCCTTGCTCAGCGCCGTAACCTCGATAGCCTTCCCGAGTGGAGAGTGCATGCGAGTACTGCACGAAACACAAAACCAAGTGCATATGTTGATGGAATTCCAAGTTGTGGATGAGAAGCTACGGAGAAAAACCGTTGACATTTTCCGGATTACCATCGACGAAAGTCAAACATATTTTGTCCTTTTCTGAAAAGAGTTTTCTGATCAGGTTTCAAACCCTATAAGTTAGTGTGACTCGTGAGGTCAACTTTGCATTAGGCTTAGGAGATTACTATTAAATTCCAATAATAGTCAAATTTTGATGTCATATGAAAATATTATAAACTATTTTTTTTTAAATGATAAGTGACGAAGACGAAATCCAAAGATTCTTATCAATTATATTAGTGTCAAAATATATCAATCGAGATACAAAATCCTTAATTTTTGGTAAGTAAGTCTGATATATCGACATATGATTTAAATATTTACTATAATTCTTAGGAAATAAAACAACACCTCAGCCATTGCGGATGTTATAATGTTTGGTATAGGCTCAGTGGTGTCACCAATCCCCAAGCTAATGATCTTGGCATCTGGATACTTCTCCAAGTGCTCCTGTTGCCTCATGCCAATCTGTTCCACAGCAAAGCTTGAGAGAGAGAGAGAGAGAGAGAGAGAGAGGGTAACATGAAACGAAGCCTACCTCGGGAAACAGATATCCATTTCGGAGCTTTTCCATGTTTGCATTGCGAGAGAGCTTCAATTGGGAGACTGCACATGCCAGCATGAAATAAACTGCATAGAATCTCAAGCAAGAGTGTCTATACGTTGATGAACAAGTAGACAGCAACATAGTCTAATTACCCATCTTGATCTGACTCATCATGCTGCACGAAGGGCCGCCTCTCAAATGAATTGGCCTAAAGACCACAAGAGAAGACGATGACGGTGCACAAACAAACGCAAGAAACTCTAAGGCTACACTTTCTGCAAACACTTACTTCGATGCAATCATCATCGTGTACGTATATATAGAGGAACAAGAAGCTTTGATATCTCTTGTGAGCTATCATCGTAAGGTATATATAGAGGAATAACAAAGCCAGGCTCAGGTGGCGACAATGCCATGTCGTGGCGGTGATGGTGGTCAAGTCCGGCGAAGACTAATGGATTCAAATGGAGCTGTCGACAGCCATCAGAGTGGGCCAGAGAGAACTTTCTTCTGGTCGTTAGTTCTAGCGATCAAACACGTAGTAAGAGATCAAAGCGCCGGTCCGAAACAAGCTTGTCCTTCATGCTCGTTCTTCTTGTCAACGGTGGAAGGATGCATGTAAGGGATGGTGATGTGAGGATGGAACTGCCACTAGCTTTCTCGCAGTTCCACCAAATTTCCAGCGATGTTCCGACCATGTTCTTCGAGTGGCGATATGGAATTCAAATTGTAGCCCATCAATTTCCATTTGTTCATCAATGTCAATTGTTTGTCTACCCATGAAATTTCCTGGAAGAGTTTACCGCGAGGAAAGAAGAACAAACAGTCGCAATAAAAAGAGGAATCTTAGCGAGCAGAAGAAGAAGGAATTGTAGATAAGCACATTTCCAAGTCTTTTTCGGGTCACCATCTTCCTCGGCTTTTTTCTCCCTGGTTTGTGTTTGATTGTTGATCTCTCGAAGTATGTTGGAATTTAAACTTGTTCAAGTAATTTCATCGAAAAGGGAGAGATTCATTGCATCAAAAGAAAAAATAGATTAAATGTCTGTGGAAGAAGAAACCAAATTGACTATTGATTCTTGAATGGATTTCTTGAAAGAGAATGATTCATTTGGAATATAATTAATGTAATATATCTTTGATTGTTGATCTCTCGAAGTACGTTGGAATTTAAACTTGTTCAAGTAATTTCATCGAAAAGGGAGAGATTCATTGCATCAAAAGAAAAAATAGATTAAATGTCTGTAGAACAAAAAACCAAATTGACTATTGGTTCTTGAAAGAGAATGATTCATTTGGAATATAATTAATATAATATATCTTTGTGGACTATATAAATCCCGTAAGGTCATGAAACACGTAGAATTTCTAAAATCGTAAAGAATTTTGAGAGAAACATAGAAGATTTAACCTTATCCTATTCTTTCTTTATTTAATAACTCTATCCCTTCTTCCTTCCTATCAAGTTCAACAAAGTATACTTGAATTATCCGCGATCCAAATTGCGAGGAAAAAACCCTCTTCAAGCAGTTGCAAGCGAAAAGAATGATCGTTTCCATGATCATTCTCTGCATTTACAAGGGTCGATGATAAACTATAGCACATAAGCACGGATCATGTCGCACACCATCCATGCATGGCTTCGACAGGCCATCACCGGCAACTTGGACAAAACAATGAGTTGCTGTGGGAGACGACGGAGAGGTTTTGGAAGCTCATGTTTTGACTTCTCAAGCACCATTGCAGACTTGTGCCTCCGTCCTTGGAGGGGCCTGCTGATGGAACCAAACACCCACCGGGGGGGCGGCGGATCGGTGCATGCACTGCGATCCTTATCCGACCTAACACACCAACCTATCCATAATCGTATCAATGCCACCACCAACCAGCTATTGCAGGACTCATTTCTGGAAGACTTTCGCTAGACTTGCAGTCACCCAAGTCAACTTAAAATTTCTGGGTCTCTCCGTTTGCTGCTTCATTGAAAATTCCCGTCGGTTGATGCCCGATGGACTCGGCAACTGTAGAAAACGAAATCCACACCATCAGACACATGTAATATAATCGAATAAACCTCTCCTCCCTCTCCAAACCGATGGTGAATTTTCTCTGCTAAGTTCTGCGTGTGTTTGAGTTTAGAAACCTGCGAAGAAAAACCTACTTGGATGCATGTGGTTTTGGGTGGGACGACGACCACAGGAAGCTACGTTCGTTATCCATGACCCTCTTCACCCACGGGGTCTCACAGAATCCCCAGCTGCAGCACGTGCTTTGACCGAAAGGCTTGACTTCGACGAGGAATCAAGGAACTGGAGCTGCATCATCTTGGGTGAGTCGTCGTCCCTTGGAAGGTACGAGAGCACAGCTTCTAATTGATTACTAATAGTGCTTACTTCATTAAACGTTGACTTATTGACGGAGAAGCCTGTGGCTTGTCTGCATGCATGGGATGGAGTAGGTTGGTCCAAGGAAACCTGGCATTCCGATGGAAAGTACGTTGATGTGGTTTCATGTCAGCAAACCCTTTTGTTGACTAACATTATTAAGGACAGCCAGGGAAGATTAAGAGTAGGCTAATCCGATTTCGTGGAATTGATAGGTCTAAAGAAATAATTCTCATAAGAAATCTCAGTTGATGACGACGAGGAAGAACAAAGAGGTGACACAAACAGTTTTAAGTCTTGCATCAGAATCTAAACAATCGTGTAACATAACATTACAAGATATATATATATATATATATATATATAGCCTATCATAACAAATATTACCGGGCAACATTAAAGAGACAGAAAAGAAACCTAATAAACATAGACATAGACATGTAATGTAGGGATCATTGACAATAATGCACACTAAAGAACAATTGTGCAGACCATACAATTCAGTATTCATTCTCAAAGTCAAAGCACACCATCTTTGATGGATTTAAAATCATAAGAGCGTTGAAGTCAATTGCAATTGGCAAGACAAATGTTTAACAGCTAATTCATCCACCACTGTTGCAAACAATTAAAATCCAAATTCCCAGACTTGAAGAACCCAATCTATTAATCTAGCATTATCAACAGAATACTGCATAGCAATAGTCAATCAAATACCATTGGTATTGGCAACCATGGACAATAACTCTTCTCCAGAAGATTACTGGGAAGTCAGCACCTATTTCAGAAACATGGTCGGTAGGAATGGCATTTCCACACATTACAACCCTCCCAGAAAGATATGCACGGAATGATGATATATATTTCTTTTTGCAAGACTTAGTTTGTAGTAAAAAAAATACACTACAATAAACAGGAGATATATCTGAAAGAGAAATGCATAACCCAAAACATATTCTTGAAGAAAATAATATTAAGAAACAAGGAAACTAACTGAAGCGGACACGATCTGCCACCGCCGTATACGAGATCGTCTAAGGATGGACTTGCACATTCTATACAGATGATGTGAATTAAAAATACCATTGTTGTAAATTCAAACTTGCACTGGTGTCATATTATCCTTCCTTCATGCCACCATCAGGCAAACAAAAAAAAAGAAAAACTAGAGCCAAAAGAAAAAGTACAAGTAGAACAATCAAATACCTCCACCATCTAACAATATTCTGGCTACACCTAATAGAGACAAGCAAAGTTCTCCAAATTACTGAATTTTTAATAAGGAAATCCTGATAATGACAACTGCAGAAGTTAGCAAATCTGCAAGTAAGCCTCTAGCTCCAAAAAAATCGAATTGTAGTATTACTCCTAGCAATGCAATGCGTACAAGTTTGCTAGTGGCATCAACAAGGTGTGAAGTGGACAAGGCATGTTAGCTCTTGCAAATCAGCAGCAGAAAAAAAAATTTTCAGGTTTCACGGGCCATCACTCCAATACCCTTGATGGACACAACTATATATGTTCCAGTTTTGCACACTTAACGCCTTCCAAAGTTGACTCACAACATCATAGACTAGTTGGTGGGTCCGTTTCCAGACGGTTATCGTCAAACCAAGTTAGCAAAACAATCCTACACTAACCTCAACCAAATGATAACTCCAATGAATGTCTATGCTAAATTATTTATGTGCTGCAGGCTACAAGCTCTCAAGTGCAGAAGAAGGGATCACTAATGTGTAAAAGGAAGAAAACATTATTATAACTTCAATTGTTGTTCCAAACCTGTATTCAGAATTACTAGCAATGAAATCGAGTTGTCCATATGAGAATGAACAAAAGGTGTGTAGTCACTAAAGCAAAAGCTTTGAAGCAAAAAACACTCAAGGGAATACATGGCATAAGCACCAAAGGATTTTGATGATTTACTGCAGCAATAGTAACAATACCAATTAACATGAACAGCACAAGCCAATTACAAAGAGAAATACTTGATCAGTCTGCAACTGTTGCAACCCTTCCGTAGAATCACAGTCAACCGTGTAAAGAACAATTCAGAGACCAAGATCCCTGCCCGCATGCACAACTTTTCCAACCTGTCTTTGCTAAATAAGCCAGATCATTGATAGGCATTGGAAAATCTAGGTGACATAGAATAGACATTTCAATTTCCATTGCTCAAAACAATAATAACTTAAGGACAGAAGATAAGAGAAATACAGAAAAGAGAGGATACAAACAAAGGCAGGCAACGAGAGAAGAGAAAAGAAGACAAGACCGCTTTCCCCATCTTATTAGAATCATAACATAAAATTCATCATTTCTCTCCAAATCTGTTCAATTGCAGAGAGAAAGAAAAGAGAGTTTGTAGAGAAGTTGGTTCTTCCCGGTCTTCTCCACTTTCTTTACAAAGATTATGACCACATAATAGAATGTTACTCTCATAACTTATTATAACCAAATAAAAGCATCCACAGCTCTTTTTGTCAAGGCCATAAGACACATTTAACTTATTCTAACCAAATAAAAGAATCTGTCACTCAAGGCTATAAGAAACATTTCAGCTAACGAAGGCCCTTCTAAATGAGTAGGGACAATTAACATATAGGAAAACATAATCATCACATAGACCAAATGGCTACCCATTCTTAACGTGAGATACGAAAGAAATGCCGCTGAAGGCAAATTTGACAGTCTCAAGGAACACTAAATTGCAATGGTGTTACCTTGTTTTGGTGTTGATTTGTGCATTAGATACAACAAACATTAAAAGAAACTGCATTTCATAGAGCATTATTAAGACTGCAAATTAGGGCAGACAACGAAGAAGGCTCGAGGGAATAAAGCAACATCTAGTTCACAATATCAATATAATAAGAAACAAAGAGCATAATCATAGCAAAAGTTGTATAATCGAACATCCATCTCTTAAGAAAAGAGCAAACAAGCCTCAGAAACATTGGACCAAAAGATAAAGAGCCAAACTCGATGGTGATTGAATGCGAACCCATTCCATGGCAGATATTAACGGTACGACTTCTGGAAGCGGGCACGGGCACCACGGCCTCCGAACCTCTTGGGCTCGCAACGTCGTGGGTCGGCAACCAGGAGGGTGCGATCGTAGCGGACGAGGATGTCCTTGATCTCCTTCTTGGACTGCTCGTCGACGTACTTCTGGTGGAAGGCAACAAGGGCCTTAGATGGGGAGGTCGACGCCCATGAATCGCTGCCGGCCGAGGAGGAGGATGGGCTCGAAGACCTTGAGGCGGAGGATCTCCGGCTTCACCAGCTCGATGGGGACGCCGTTCACCTTGATGAGGCCGCGACCGCGCTTGCAGTGCCCTACCGCCACCGCCGTCTTCTTCCGACCAAAGCACTGGACCGACTCCACCACCGCCGCCGCCATCTCCCGCGGCCGAGAGGGTGATCGCAAAACCCTCGCGCAAAACGGTTGGGGGAGATGGCCACGTTATATGTGCGATGGCCAGCGATTGGGTTCGGGTCGAGTTGAACTCGATCTACGGTTGGACCGGGCCGGGACGCCTAGTGTCAAATAGAATTAATGAATAATACTAAAGATTAATACCTCTAAAGGGTGGATAGAGCGAAAATACATCAAATTAAACGAATCCCACACGAATCAAATTAAGCACAACTGGTCATTGCCTTGAAAGGTTATTATACTACAGGAGTCCGAGTGCCTTTAGCTGTCGAACATGGTCCGCGGGAAGGGGTGGTGGGCACCAATCTGTGGCCTCGCTGTCCACGGCCTCCACTACATACTCCTTTAGAATGTAGTAACATAACATGAGAAAGGATTCAAACAGTAACAGTTTCATATCAATAAAAAGAAGGTAAGGAATTGCTTATGCCAAGAGAAGAGAAGAAAACAGGACTCACTTCTGTTAGCATCCGTTTAACGAGTATATGATAGTGACGCTGCCAAATCCTTTGCCCGACCATGGTTGCCACGATCACGCTGTAAAATATGCCGACGACGGTGAAGAGCCCAAGAACAAGTAGTCCAACAATAAGCATCAATGGTAGACCCGCTTCGCCGGTCTCTCCTCCTAAGCACCCGCATTCCCCGCCTGTGCTTCCACAATTATCAAAGCAAGTGGTACAGTCCGCCCAGATGCAGAGGGTACCGGGGAGATCACAGTCTGCACGCGGTCTGAAAGAACCCCCCAAAAAAGTATCACATTAGACTTGAAATTTACAGAGATCCAAACACAGGAAAGGCGAAGATATACGTGAAAGCACACATGTAATATTACAACACCAAAATGAAGAATATAGAAGGTATAACTGGATATGGTACTAACCCTGGTCGACAGCAACAAAGACAAAATTCTCGGCACGGCTGAGCCAAATCATTGTGCAACTGTTGATCGTAACAAGTTATAAAGCACCCAGATAACCCAAGAAGAGCAAAAAATAATAGCGCCCCTGCAATTGCAAACAAGCTTAATGAGGAAATGAAATGGCCCAAGTACGATGTTATAAACAATAGGAACATTGATCTGGGAGACAGTCTAATTTGCCAGTTCATCATATTCCGGATAGTAGACAAAGAGATTTAAGCATGTGCTGCACAGAAAAGTCTCATGGCATTTGAAGTCTTAAGCAGGTTCATGAAGGATGATTATGGAACCTTCAGTCTTGGATGAAGAGAAGCAAAGAATTATGCAGCTTAAAGACTTGCTCCTAAATACCTCGGTAGTACCGATAGAAACTTGGACGTTCATAAGAATTTCACAACTTGAGAATGTGGAGATTGACTGTTTCACTTTCCATCAGTTTTAAATGGATTGCATCACAAAAAAGTTTTCACACTGATCATTATTCTTGTCGCAGTACCAAATTAGAGCATGTTAAGAAGAAGGCAGACGACAAACAATATGGAGTTCTTACTTTGTGTTAAGACATGGGATTTCATCAACCAGGATTGTTTTGGGGACTCAAGTATAACATGTGAACTTACTTTGACACCCTTTCCATCAACACTTGGTTTATAACTACAGGCAGGACCTTGTTTGTAAGTCTTATTGACCTCTAGCACCGGCCAACTGTTCTTAAAGTGCCAATTATTGAATATATAACGATAATTGTAATTAGAGAAAAGTCACACCCTGATCATTTAATAAGAGAAAAATGATGCCCTCGGTCATTATAATACGGCTAACTCAAGCACACGGTTTTTATTTTTGAAGTAGAAAATCTGTTTTCCAAGGTAAAAAAAAAAGCAAAAATAGATTCAGATATTATGGTTGCTCATAATTGTTATTTATCACAAGAAAATACCTGTGTGTGGTTTTCCCTGATTCCTCTTTAACAAATAAGCTAGAGTCTTTTTTTATTGAAAATTAACACCATCTTAATGTTAATAATAGTGTTGCATAACATGGACAAAAGGCAGGAGAAAACACCTTTATAACTGAACACAGACAAAAAAAATTGTCATCAAGTGCTCTAATGGTTTAGAAGCATACCACATATATAGTAGAAACTTATTTCACTGTCAAAACCGCAAGCCATTCGCAACCAATAGTTCTGTGAGCGATCAACCAAATAGACCAGATATGCCAATGAAGAAATTATCTGTTTCAAATGCAGACATCATAAGAATAGGTGCAAGACAAAAGGCATTAAATTGTCAAGAAATGTAATGATAAAACTTAAGCTCACAAGTTGAACAGCTGCAAAAATAAACAGTATATCCCTGGTTACAAAGAATCGGAACTTCAAAATTCTCCATTTCCTGTCTGCAGGACCGTGCACCCTCAAATAGTAAGGAGCCTTGCAGGTTGTGCAATGAGAAAATGCAAAACCTTCCTGATGAAAACAAAAATGTGGCAAAAGTCAGCTGTCAGAAATGAAGATAATTTCACATATATATTAAACATAAAAGAGAATAATAACAAAAATGACAAGAGACAACAATGATGACATTCAGGTGCAGAATTTTCTAAAAGCATATGATAAACCTTTGATATCAGAATCTATCTACTTATATTGGAAAACCTGGTAGATAGATCAGTTATCTAAATTTAAATCATTTGCTGAACTGACATGAACTTCCATTTGCAGTTTTAGATTATGACACTAGCAAACCCCAATTACTTCCATAGATAGCAATGTGCACCTCAATACAGTCTTAGTCAGTTCTGCACAACAGAAATATTCAGCAGGTGATTCCTTAGCAAGGTTCGGAATACTGTAGCATACCGTCCTGTCACGACCTTAGCTGGAATTGCCTAAGGCGTGCGGCACCCTTGCGGCCAAAGATGCGAACTTAGCTTGCGTTGCCTAAGTCGCGAGTCACTCTTGCGGCAAAGACGCGAACTTAGCTTGCGTTGCCTAAGTT